ATGGAGGAGAAGTGACTGCCGTGTGGCCATCCCCCTGGGGGGTGATTTCTCGCTTTCTGTCTCTATGTTTCTCTCTGTCTCTCTGGAGAGTGCACACGCCCTATAACAAAAACCTCTCCATTAAAAGAAATTTAAAAAAATTTAAAAAATTTTAAAATAAAACTTTTTCTTTTTTTCCCCAAGAATTATTTAATTTTATTTATTCATCCATTTATTTTAATTTGATCAGAGAGAGACAGAAAGAGAAAGACAGAGACAGAGAGAGGGAAAGTGAGAAAGCAAGTCACCAAGTCTAGGACTCAAGCCATGGTTGGCCATGTAGGAGTGTCCAGCTCCTTAACCACCACACCACCTGCTGGTCCCAACTACTTTTTCTTACATTACTCATAAAAAATAAAGTCTGGTGGATTTAAATGAAATGTACAAATGTTTTGCTGCTATATCTCTGCTCACATGCATACTAATAAGGTTTTCAAATTACAGAATTACTTCTATCACTATAACACTGTCCTATAAATTTAACATTTCTATACTCTCAATTTGTTTATATATTCTACACAATGCTTCTATTTCCTGAGATTTTAAGCATAAATATATATTCATATGAAGTTATTTTACACAATGCAATGGTATTACCAAAATCTCATTTTGAGAGTAAAATAAATCAGAAGTACATTTATTAAATCACAACATAAGAAATGCACACATCCCCTGTGTTATTATTGAACCAAAGATCAACAGTCTTAATTTAACAATGTCAGTCAAATATTCACGTAGCTTTACATATACATATGTGTGTGTGTGTGTGTGTGTGTGTGTGTGTGTGTATTTTTTTTAAGATGTTTTTGCTTTAGGGTGTGTGAGCTTGCCAGAAAGACAGAAAGAGACAGAGAGACAGAAAGTGAGAAATCACCCCCAGCGGGAGATGACCATGCTGCAATCCTTTCTCCTCCCTTCTCTCCTCCTTCCCAGGATCTTGGAAACACACGCACACACGTTAGGTGTAAATTTAAGCCACTGGGTCCGGGACTTGAACTGTGGTCAACTACATGGGAGTTCAGCAACATAACCATTACGCCAACTGTTGATCCCAGCTTTATATATTTTTTAAATAATTATTTATTAAATTTTATTTTTATTTTTTATCTTTTAGAGAGGTTTGTCCAATAGGGCATGTGCGCTCGCCAGAAAGACACTGAGAAATAGAGAGACAGAAAGCGAGAATCACCACCCAGGGGAATGGCCACGCCACAATCCCTTCTCCTCTGTTCTCCTCATGGGATCTTGGACACGCGCATACCCACACTAGACATGACTTTAAGCCACTGGGCCCAGGACTCAAACAGCAGTCGATTACATGGGAGTCTAGTGACATAGTCATTACGCCAACTGCTGGTCCCAAATTTTATTTAGCATTTTTATTACTATTTTAAAAGTTTGCTAGAGGCACATGCTTTCACCAGAGAGAGACATAGAATGAGAGAGAGAGACAGAAAGTAAGAAAGCAAGTCACCAGGTCCAAGACTCAAACTGTGGTTGGCCTTGTGGGAGTCCAGGGCCTTTAGCCTTTTTACCATCATGCCACCTGCTGGCCTCAACTCTATGTATTTTATTTTTGAGAGATTTTTTGCTATAGGGCACATGTGCTCGCCAGAAAGACGGAGAGAGACAGACAGACAGAAAGCAAGAAACCACACTCCCCCCACGGGGGACGGTCACACCACAATCCCTTCTCTTCCATTCTTCTCTTAGGATCTTGGGCACACACGCACACACGCCCAGTGTGAGTTTAAGTCACTGGGTCCAGGACTCGAACTACGGTCGACTACATGGGAGTCCAGCAACATAGCCATTACGCTAACTGCTGGTCCCAACTCTATGTATTTTTAAGACCAAGGTACTTGTGTCATACAACTATAAAAACAAAAGGAGAGGGGCCAGCAGGTAGTGCGGTGTGTAAAAGTGCTGGACTTCCACATGACTAACCATGGTTTGAGTCCCAGACCTGGTGACTTGCTGTCTCTCTCTTTCACTCTGTCCCTCTATGGTCAAACTTAAATGAATGAATTAATTAATTAAAAATAATTCTTTAAAAAAATTAGATAGTATTATAATTTCAATATGGAGAACCACCATGAAGCATTTAGCTCTTTAATAAATTCTATAAATATATATTAAAAATATTCCTTTGGATAACAATGTAAACTTACCTTTGTTGTAGTAATAGTCTATTTTCTTTTTCTTTTAAAGCTTTCTTTAGTTCTGCTGTTCTTGAAGGCCTATGTAAGTACTTTCTTTTTCCTGTGCATTCGTAAGTCCAATGTCCAAATTCCAAGCATTTCTGACATCTTACATGTTGCTTATTTGCTTCACTACAAAGAAAAAAACATAGTATAAAATATAGTATAAGGGAACCAGCAGTTAGCGTAATGGCTATGTCGCTGGACTCCCACATAGTCGACCGCGGTTCGTGTCCCGGACCCAGTGGCTTAAAAC